GTGAGAATTAGCTCATTCATACCAAGAAAAGCACCCACAACTAAACAAATGGCATTAAGGACATGAATGGGGAAGTGATTTGAATAAACAAACACATAACCTGTTTCCTTTTTCAGTTTCTTTTGCAATGACTCGAGAGGCATTGTGTTGCCAGTGTATCATAATCGGTAACGTTTGCTTCCCATCGGATGCACTGTACTCATCTTTGCGCTTCCTTCACTCATTGCTCCTTATCCACCACCACTACAAAACGAGGAATAAGGTTACGCGAGTCCATGATTGCTTACTTTCACAATGGTTTCACGCAAATAACTTCCCACATTTGTAGTTGGTATTTGTCTTATACCCTGTAAATGCATCAATGCTCTTTAAATATACTTAAAATTAAGTGAACTGCAGACGTAACTCCGATGATGTTTTATATCATACAAGATTACTCCAGTATTTTTCATTACCATTCGATTTCTCAAACTCCTTGAAAATCCTAAGAAGCATTAATATTCTTGGCGGTTTCTGTCTTCTGTCACCATATTTTATCACACAAATCAGTTGGAGCATAACGTTTTTCATTCCTTTTGCTTTTCCATTTTAGTTTCTTTTATTGAATACATACGAAAAGACAATTTTCAGAAGGAGAGGCGGTAAATCAAAGGGTTCATATACAACACGATGTGAAAAGTCCGGCGATGAAGGCAGAATTCAAATTAGTCCTTCTGGATGAAAATTCGATGACCTTTAATACCGGGCCACCACCTGCCCACTCCAGACACAAAGGTCCATCCAAAGCACGAAACTGAGCAACTCGATAGATTTGATACCTGTTTAGTTGAATAATACAGAATTCACGTGATGGCTTACAATCAATCAAATTTAACAATCAAGCCTTGTCTCTCTTAGGTGATGTGAAAACCAATCAAGCAATAGAATTAATATAAGACCCCTTATTTTATTATTCAAGCATCAGATTTTGTCATACTGTCATTTGCATCGTTTAAATCAAAAACAATGGCCTAGCTAATTTGGAATTTAGCGGAATGCTTTCCGTTCAAGTTACCTAAACACGCTACTGTCTCAGACAGTTTATTCATTAACTACGATAGTTATTTATCTAAAGAGGAACTCAACAGTAAAGCGATTGAATAATGTGAGAAAAAATGCAAAGTTTGTCCCTGGTCTTATTTGATGCTTGATCACTATACGGGACAAAGTGGAGGGGGATAAAGGAATCGCGGTAAAATAAAACGACCGCTTATAGTTTCTGATTTGTCGGTCCCCTTTTGTGAATGATATGTCAATTTGATCGTCATCAGCGCTCGGCGAAGCCGACTATCCGCACTGATGAGAAATTTACTGGTCCTGTTGTCAGATATAAATAAAGTAAAGTGCATATGCAACGGTGAGGAAAGTCGAAAGTAAAGTAACAAAACAAATGCTGGGATGGAAAATCCAGCTGGCCAATACACCAATGTCAAAACAGTGCTAACTCCGAGAGTGGACATCCTAGAAAATGTCAGAATCAGAAGCTTAGAATAGCAAAGACATCCTAGGTGTCCTCGTGTAACCAGTAAGTCATCGCACAAAAACCGAAAGGAGTTAAATGTCAAGAGATGTTAATACCTTGTTTGGCGTAACGGAGGCGAATGAATGTGGGGAAGATCAACCCCATGACATGCAAATTTGTTGGATCAACAAAGCGTTCAATGTAGTCTAATTAGCAACGCTTCAATATACGCATTGCAGTTTAAAGGGCTCTGGCTTGAAAGACGAAAACGGATCAACTGTGTCAGGTTATGTTGAAGTGTATCGCAACCGACGTTCCTGAGTTACTCGTGATCGCCTGACCATCGGATGCAAAACGCGTCATCAGTTAGACCAACCAACTTGGAATGTGTGCGGCCGTCCGTTTTGATAGATGACTAATTTTTCTGCCAGGGTATGCGTCGCAGTAACTGCTGGTGCGAGACAGAACCGGGTTGCTAACCATGTGTACACAACGCATCCATGACCGTTTCGCTACATCTGTACGCGTGCATACTGCTATGAAGGTGATTCTTATAGTCATTGGAACAAAAACATAAAAAGAGAGACGACACTGCTAATCACAGTGGACAGCATTCGTCATGACGAACGTCACGGCCACATAGAGTTGTTAGCTACCAACGGTTCTCCCCGATTGGGTAGATCGATTTAAAGATCTCTCTTCAGACCGAATATACGGTCGCGATGATTTTTACATTTCTTCAGCTTTGCCCATGTGATAAATAATGTGTCTCCTTCACACAATATTTCGCACAGCAGGGGAACTATGCACATATGGCTCCCTAAATAAGAACAAATATTTTCTAAAATAAATACTACAAGAAACCTTATATTCATTGTAAAGCAAGACCACTAGTAGAAATGTTACTAATTTCCTCCAAAATGTAAGCTTTCCTAAAGTTTTCACACTGAGATGATATGAGTCAGTTAGTTATCAAGCGGTTGAACTCCACCACCAAGCGTGCTCATTACGCGGTTCACTCAGTCCTTGTTTTTACTATCAAACAGATACCAACATCATCAATGAAAAAATCGTTGCCCTCGGCTAAATCGAACTGAACTTACCAGTTCAATTGTGAATACTCGGTCATCTTTCTAGAAAATTACGTCATCAGGTGACTGAGCACAACCTGGTTATGCTAACGAAAACGATGGGAGACACGTTTGCAAATATGATGTCATCGACTGGCTACAAAAGATTCCAGTCTTTAGTAATGGGACACTTATTTGAACAGAAACACTGAATCGATCCAAACCATGCAGTTTAAATCATTCACATCGCAACAAACAGAAATTATTCGACTTTGCTGAGGTTTGGGTCATTTTCTAATACTAAACCCAATCTAAGCAAACAGCGTGAATGGTTGATCGTTGGTTGACCCCCAACCTCTCCGGTGTTTTGGTTTTATTGTGTGGTGTTGTCCGACGTGATACCCAATGTTGTTTTCACTCAATATATCACGGACTACCATAATCAGCCCCTTAATTGCAGTATGCACGTGTTCAGTTCCAGTGAATCTATCGTGCATACATTGTGCAAACTCATTTTCTGACGTCTGTACTTATATTTGTGACGGAAAAGCAGTGTTTTTATTTACATACTTTTGTCCAGTTTTGATAGGTTGTTAGGGCTAATAGGTCTTGGTCAACCAGCTATTTCTGTGCTGTCCAAAGCTGAGTTCAACCTTTGGTGCACACCATTTAAAATGTGGGCATATTTTAAAGCAGGCCTAATTCAGACAGTAAAGTAAATATCATCGTATCTTGTTATTAAAGTAAGTCGCAGTTACTTTATGTTCAACCCAATAACTCAGTGGAGCAAAAATGCTTCGTATCTTGTTTCTTTGGTTCACTGTGATGTGCAATTTTTCTGTGCACGGTCCCTTCTGTTTTATAGCAATGGCTTATCACTGTTTCATGAAAAACACATTTCGGAAAAACAATACTCGTTTGAGAAATTCCAGTGAACCAAATTTTGATCACAATTGTAAGCGGAGTTCATTAGGATCTTTCTGAGTTCCTGTGATTTTGGAATTTATCGAGATTGCTCTTTAGATCATGCGGAGAGCCGGAATGCAGTTATATGCATTGTATGGTTATTGTTGTTGTTCTTTCCTTCTAATGATTAGCACACCGGATGCAAACGGTGTTCGCTACGACCGAGCTTGTCATATGACCGTAAACTAATCAACCTGATGAGAAACGAAACTCCGCTTCCCCTTTGATTAGTTCCCATGTGTTCGGTGTGCACATGTAGTTTGGTTAGGATTAACCAAAAACCAGTTTGATGTACTACAACTGTTAGCATGTGCTCCTTTTTCGCATGCATACAAACACCTAACTGGTTCACACACACAAGGGAAATGCATTATTTGTGGGTCACGTGTATTTTCTCTTGTGGTTGTATCTTGCAACGTAGCTTAATGAACAATGGAGGAAAAATGTGCATCGATTGTGGAGAGGACAAAAATTTCCTTTGTTTTCCACACAGTTCAATTTAATTTGATCTTAAAATGAGCTCATCGCGTAACTGCGTACTTCATCCGGTATCAACAACAATTCATACGCTACTTCATCCCAGACAACAACGGTTCACTGTTGACCCAATACAACGGAAATTGTTGTTGAAGCGAGTTGTATATTTGTCTGAACAGTGTCTTGCTCACTTAGCTCAGTTATATGACGAAGATTGGATAATGTGAATTACATCATACCCAGGACCTATTGTTTTTGAGCCACTATAATTTGGTGCACTTAGAACGTAGTGTGGAAACTACTGAAACGGCCTAACCTAAGCTGGGCGTTATAAAAACT